TTATATACTACATTTTTTTATAAATATGGCGATCTACTGGATTGTTATGCCGTGTGGTCTGGTAGAAATTTGTGGACGTTTCAGAGGTTCTTCATTCCTCCATCATAAGGACAATTTCACTAATAGGCTGTTTGAATGGCGTGTGCACGTTCGGTTACGATCGAACTACGTTCTTGATGACATGGCTGGCGCGCTGTGCAAACATTTGCCATGTCCAGGCTTGTGCACTGACTAGAATGGAATACCTGAAGGGCCTACGAAAACAACCTGCTTTACTTCAACAAATTTTGTTGTGATTGTTATGAACATGCAGCCAACTGTCACAGCATTTATTAACAACTGCACGCGCTACTTACCTTATTCCCCATCCACAGTCAATTATACAGGTAGAGTCAAAAGTATGTTTACAAACTTTGTATGCGTGTTCCTGTATCAAAAATAAGAATAAATGTTCTCATGAACACGTGGTCGCAAATGCTTTTTCAAAATAATAGCCAAAAATAAGTTTCAATGTATGCGTTTACTGCCAAGTGTAAGGACAGGAATGTTTCTTTATAACAGATGCTCAAAGGTTGTTCCTCCATTCTCCATACATGCCCGAGCACGACGTACACAAGACTGACGAATTCGTTCGTACACACCGGGGTTTCCTCGAATCATCTGGCATGCAATCACGATATGTTAATAATATAAGTTCACGTTATTTCCTTAAATAAATCAATGTTATTAAAAAAATTAAATTCCGACATTTGATTCTTTCAAATGAATTTCAACGGTATGCTGTGTAAATACTATACTAACCAAGACAAAGCCTCGATAAATTTACGAAATCTAAGCCTACGAAAAGAAAAATTGACTGATTTCCTACTTCTAACTTATTGCAAATCAACGCGCTAAATTATTTAGATTTCTTTCTTTTTGTAATATCAAAAACACACACCCATTACAATTAATTTTACGAACAATTTTAGTTTCGTGTTTTTATTATTATTTAGTACATCATTTAGTCATAAAATTAATCATACAGGAGTGTGTGATAAACGCTTTCACGTTGAAATATTAGGCCAATAAATTACAGACTCTAATTAACTTCCTGGTTGTTCTACAGTTTCACATATTGTTGAAGTTGACGCATCGGATTGAAAGGAATCTTACGTGACGATATCTAGCTACTCTTTGGTATCACAGAGAAATAATCCTCAAAGAGACAAGTTTCTCGTCCCCACACCGGCTCTAGGGCCCACAAGCCTTCTAACCAAAGTATCCAGCAGGCAAGAGATAACCACTCACCTCCATTCAGTGACAGTGCAAAGAATGCGTGGAACTATACCTTGACTCCCCCTACACTTTAATCACAACGTGCCCAATTACGCACAAAGGAAATTTTGTTCTTTACCACCGGCAAATTAAATGAGAAATAAATACAAAAAGTCAATGAAAGCTGAAACAAAGGAGCTTTACCACTACTACACAGCAATTCCAATCTTCAGTGGCCCTACAAATAAGTTCAATGAAAACTAACACGCTGTTGAATGCATGTAAAGCAGCAAGCTTTTAATAAACAAAACAAAAGACTCGAAATTTATATTTTCTATTCCAATATTCTTTTCTTTCTGAGTATGCTTCCAGAATAAGACGTTGAGAGGAAGGCAGCCGCTGTGAGCTACTGTACTACGGACTAAAAGATGTCTGGATCTACGGAATGAAGACCAGGCTTCCATACCGACGTAAGGTTTCGTGGACCGTAAAATCATTTCAGTTCTAGACGCAATATGTTAGCAGCTTACATCAACAGCGGTTTAATAAAGATTTTAACAGGACGTATATTTATCAAAATTTGGGCTTTCCCGACTAAACCTTAATGGCATAAAAGTCAACAAATATTTTAAAAATATTACTAAATGAAAACGTGAAGATTTCTGTCTTCTGGGTTATTGCGCTGTGTAGTCTGGTCGATGTTCGTCTTCTGGATTGAGTCATCACCCTAATGATGGAGGCAGCAAGGACTTCTGAAACGTCGGTGAACTTCTACCAGACTACACGGCGTTACAACCCAGAAGACAATCATCTTCAAACTCACCGCCGTGAGAATCTCAAATCCTACACATTACTAAACATTCGTATCTTTACATACTAAGTTGCTAGACTTGGAAATGCAACTATGGCGTCAAAATGAAATATGGGTTTGAACTATTAAACATTTTTATTTGTATCTAAACATGAATGTTACTTCTAGAAACAAAGAGATATGAAATTAAATATTTTTTCTTTTGTTGTGTAAAACGACAGTAAACGTGAGTTCTCCGATGTAAATACAGAATAGGGCTTATATATTGTGCTGAAAAGGTTAAAGTCGCAAAAACTTGGTTCATATACTTCCAGGATATTTCAAACATTTTTTCTGTAGTTTGCGCGTGCTCTAGGTAACAGGAAGCTCCCATTTTTAATAAATATCAGTGTGAGTGTTCAATACCTTAGAATTCTTTGTTATGCAGTCTCGCACAACAGCCGTTATACACTCTTACTTGAAAACATCAGACTTAATATCTTACTATAGCAGGTGCTTTCTTCGTTTCTTCCTTTTCTTTCCTTTTTCTTTCTTTATGTTTTTCTTTCCTTCTTCCTGTGCTTTATTCTATATCCTCGTTTCTGAACGTAAAATTATTCCATTATAGGTAATGCATTTATAAAGGCTTTATACAACCAAACCAGAAACAGGTTCTTAGTCGGTTAATGCACAGCATACATTGCGATTGCACTATGTTTCCATACCGAGCGTTTAAAATAAGATCAGCACAAGAGACTTCAACTTATTTTGCGGGACTGCGTATCATGAAAAATTCTAAAGCACTGAACATTCACTATGCATATTAATGAATACATAAGCTGTATACAACGCTATATATACACTTTCAAACATTATTTAACCCTGAAACTGGCAACTGCGGCTTCACTGCATTCAGATCCAGCGAACTTCGCAAAGAATGGCCCTGAAGTGCGAAAATGAACTGATGTTATATTTTTAAGTTACAAAGAAGTTTATTAGCCGAAAGTTTTGCGACTAAGGTATGTTATTAAAAACAGGCGCGTTATTTGGATGTTTTTCAGCTTCAAAAACTTTGTGTTTTAACGAAAAACTTGACGTTGGAAACTATCATAAATATGAGTCAGTTTAAACACAGTTTGTTCGTTTTTAAAGTTTCTATGACGGCTTGTAATCTCAGTCAAAAGACGGGGATCGGCATGATGTCGAAAACAGGAGGTAGAACGATGCCCACTGTTGGTTTTTCTGCACCAGGTAGTTAAGTACTTCACCCCTTCTACAAAGTTAATTGATTTAGTCTCACTGCTGTATTTTAAATAGGAAGTGTAATGAAATCAGCAAACTTAACAGCGCGAAGTAACTAGGCGTAATAGTGTAAAATTGTCAAAGCAAATTCGACATCCGTGCGGCTTTTCTTTTGATTTCCTAGTTAATAAGAATTTAACAAGTATTTCAAATATCAGTAAACACTGAACAGCAGATACTTCAGTATGTAAAGCAGAGATAATACTGAGTTAAAGCATTACTGGTATAACTGACTCTTCATACAATCTTATTTATATTCGTTGGGTAGCAAAGTTGAAATGTGCTTCTGAATTGTAATTTACATATTAAGGAGCTGTGTGCAAACACTTTCAAATAATGTGGTCTCATCGCCCTCAATCTACTAATGCAACAAACCTGTTCACATATTTTCTTCTTCACAAAATTTACGCTTCATCACAATAGACTGTTTAAAACTGCGGCTTGATACGTCGCTTATTTACAGCAATATTAGCTAATGCAAAAGTGACCAGCGTAATTAAGAATCAAAATTCAGGTTATAAGAAAAGTAACAGTATAATAATCCAGTGACCAACTTTCTACAATATTCTTACTTGGTTTATGGTATGTTTTCTTACGGAGTTAATGGACTTCACCTCTGATTCTGTTAACATTTATGCACACACACAACGGTGTTGATATTATCTTCGAAAGTCAATGTTAGACGCTGATGTATTATCGATCGTCAAAGCATTGTAAGGATCATTTTCTGTGGTTTGTTTATGTACAGCATGGCTCGACGTCTTTCGTGTCCCAGCGTTTCAGCCGTGGCGTCAATCACCTCTTAAGGACGGAGATGGTACTACATCGCGCTCACCACATACGGACAGAATTAAATGTTCTTTTTTTCTCTTACGCCTTTAAGTCATATTGGCAAGGGACTAAGAACACGATTAAGTAGGAAGCCAATAAAATTGATACTCTATGCTCCAAGGCTCTGTTATGTTATACCCTTCCGCCATTTTGTATAATGTTACTTATTGCATTCACCCATGTTTCTTCCACCTTTTGTCAAGTTATTTCTACACAACTAATGATTATCAATTACCACATTTAATACTGTTATATAGACCACAGTCCGTTTCATTGGCAACGGGGGTCAATTTTCTGGTAATTAGTGAATCAGCGGCAGAGGACAAAATATTTTTCTTCATCAGCACACACAATCACATGTAAATAAACTATGCAATTTCCAACATTGGACTCAAAGCGCTCAGAAATAAATGCAAATGAATTACTAATAGTAGATACAAGGAAAACAGTATAATTATTAATACTTTTACGTGGCTGATACATAAAATGTGAGGAAACTGTCAATATGTGACGTGTCATATCACGCAGCCCTAGTCTAACATGTTACTCTGCGACAACCTCTTTGTTCAGCCTTAAAATGCAAGTGTAGAAGCATTAATAAGACGAGACATGGGATCAAACCTCTTGGATGACGAGACAAAAACTTGTGTCAACCGACTCAGAGGTACGAAGAACTTGAATTAACGAACATGGACTTGAGGAGAAAAGGAGCTTAAGCATCTGTAAGTGCTAGGCTAATTGTCCCCTTGCAGAATTCGTTCGGAGTATGGTTCTTATGAACCAAATTCAAACACTGCAGTAAAACTTTATGCGTACTCACATTGAGGTAATGCCATGAAGAAGCCCTAGCAGCTGGACACACACCAACACAAACATGGTATGGCGCGGGGCTGGACGCCGCACTCTGCAGTGTTTTCTGCCCACCGACGCCAGGTTAGCTTCAAGAGATCTGCGTTCACGTCAAGGACGGTATCTGTCCCATTCACCTATAAAACACATCCAACAGCAGGCTTCAACAATTCCGTCTTGCTAATTTTGAAGTCATTTAGTATATTTCGATTTCATCTGAACGTCAGTGGGCTGATTATAAACTAAACATGTTATGTAGTGTATAATATAGTGGAATTGTAAAACAAAATGTAATCCAATGTTTATAATTGTTTGGGTTATGACACCGCACATATTTAAGCTCTACAGCGTATTCCGAAAACGCCCTGAAGATGGAGGCAGTAAGGATGTCCGAATACTAATACACGATCCCTTCACCCAGAAAAGGGATCTACGTTAGAACTTAAACGCCATCAAATCCTGAAATCTTCAAATTATTGTTTACTTAGTTATAATTTATGTAAAACGATATAATAACAGCCTGAAATGTGCTTGAGAAACTTATAACCTGCATTTTTATCCACGTAAAATCCGTACAAACCCAATGAGACGTTAAAATGCGTATTTAGTTTCTGTTGTTGGTATTCATCCTTCAGGCATCCTTTTCGTCTGTATGTTAACAGGGCGTTCCTGACTATTTCGACGAAATGTCTCAGATACAAGTATTTCATACTCGGTCATGAACAGCAAATCATCCGATAACCGCTCTGCCTCGTGTGAGGCCTCTTCAGACTGATTTTACACATTCCTATGAGGTACAATTACGTGATCTCAATCCACTCAGGTCAATGTGAATCAAAATTAAGTCCAGAAAGCCTCAGTTATATTTAAAGTAACTTAATATTAAGTTTCTAGTAACGTTTCTGTATTTTTTCTCAGGTTCCTATTAATATATGTAAATTTATGTTGATTACAATTCTACTATAGCGATTTTTCACATACAGATAGATTAAATTTTGCTGCTGTCTCCTAGCTTGTAGCACAGTGTAGTCTGGTAGAAGTTTACGTACGTTTCAGAGGTCCTTGCTGCTTCCACCATCAGGGTGATCATCGCACACATTACAAATATTTGTATTCTAATATAGCCACGCCGAGATATTTTATTGTGCTACAATGAACACATTAAACTAATCATTATTACTGGTTTAAGATAAATCCTGTAGTAATTGATGTTGAGTTTTTGACGTCAGAATTACGGTACAGAATATTTAATTAAGTAATAATGTAAACAAATTCTTTCGTGCGTCAAGCAGTAGGCATAATATTATTAACGTATTACATTATAGAATGATGAAGAAAATCAGCAACTGGTTATTTTGTTTAAAATATTTGTACATTTTGTCACTATGAGTCTACTGGTGGGAAAAAGTGGAACAAATATAACTTGCCAGGCGTTTAATTAAATTAGTTAATTTTAAATGTTTTATGGCGGTAAGTGGCTTATTATGTTAACAGAAACGTAGAATAATGATTAATTTGTCTTTGGAAACGTATAATATTATAATTTAATATCATTTTCATTATCATGAATTAAAATTCAATGTCAAGTTACGAATAATTTTACGATCGGAAAATAGCATACGCTTTTAAGGATAATAGCATTAAAACCACGATATTACGTAAGAGTTGTTTAATTAGTCAGTAATATAAAAACTTACCGTTTTAAAAGTCTTTTTGTGTATAAAGGTTTAAAACATTATATATCCGCAGGTATTTCTTGCAGCAGGAAAGAAATTTTAAAATTTCAAAGTTGTATAAATCTGCACTTTAAATTCCAAAAACGTCTGTTAGATTTATCTTCTTAAGTTTGTCTTAAATTATCTGTGTATCATCACATTTACGAATCCTAAATTATTTTTACAACGAAGACAGCATGCTGTCATCAGCAACAGAATCCGGTCAGAATGCAAAGTGTCGCGCTGTTGACCTGCCTCTTGCTTCGTCAATCAACAGAAGACGTTCGGCTCCCGCACAGAGATCGCCACTACGAACAACGCCTAGACGTATTTTGAACGCGGGGATGTCGTGGTCTGCTGTGTCAGACTTTGGCGGGTTGCGTCGAAGCACCCCGAGTTCTTGGCACGGCGCATGTCTCGTGTTTTCTATGCGAAAAGTGTCCATCTACCTTCGCGCCAGTCTGGTACAAGCATAATATCGCCTGAAACTGAAAACCTCGCCTGACTACGTGAACTTCTGTTTCTCAGTAAGGAACTGGGAGGAGGCATGAAGGAGTGTCCAAAACAAATTTTATTTCAGTTCGTATAAAAGTTTGCTACCGTTCATTTCCGAATCTTTTCCTTCTCTATCAGAAAACCTTAAAATTAAATATACAAAATTATACACTTATTGTATGTGGATGTGAAACTTAGTTTTTCAATCTAAAAGAAGAACAACACACAGTAAGGGTCCCTGAGAACATGTCTTAAGGACAGGAAAATAAAAGATTCTGAACTGAATGCTAGCAGTTATATCCTGGATTTAATGTATTCTTAACTTCTTTATAATTTTAATTTGATTAGTTACTGTCGTTAAAAATTAATTCTCGTTGATAATTCATAATGTGTCATGAATTTTTCTTTGAACCTCTTTATAAATTAAAATGTTTTGACAACCCCTTCAGCTGGGAAAGTAGGCAAAAGTTTTGGACCTAAATAAGATACGAGGTGCGATCGGAAAGTTTTAAGACTGTGTCAATAGAGGGGGTGCGGCCTACATTCATAGTGAATCAGTGTGCCAGCCAGCATCATCTAATTAGCATTTGTTTCTTAGTTACGGGCGTTTTGGTAGTGCATTACACCGACCCTCCTGCGATTTCGGAATGGCGTGTGCATCAAATTTGGCCAAAGACTCGCCAAAACGGCTACGGAAACCTATGAAATGCTAAAGCAAGCATTTGGGGAGTCCGCAATGGGTCGTGCACAAACTTTTGTGGGGCATTCACGTTTTAAAAATGGCCGAACCCCTGTCGATGATGACGAGCATTCTGGACGACCATCTTCGAGCACAACGCCCGAAAATGTTACGAAGATCGACGTCGTACCATCAACGACTTGTGCGACATTGTTGGGACCTGTCAGCTGATTCTAAAGGAAGAACTCCACATGCGACGCATCCTCTCTGAGGACCAGAAGCAGAATCGACTTCTCGTTTGTCAGGAGCTCAAAGATCTTGCAAGAACCGACCCCAACTTCCTTTCTAAGCTCCGTGTGACTTCTTCCTCTTCCCAAAGATGAAAATTCAGCTAAAGGAAAGGAGATTTGAGACGATAGAAGAGATTCAGGCAGAATCGCAGATGGTGCTTGACAGGCTGACAAAGAAAGATTTCCAGGGATGCTTCCAGGCTTGGCAGCGGCGCTGGGATCGTTGTGTTCACTCCCAGGGGAACTACTTCGAGGGTGATGGATGGATTTAATACCTGAGATAAGTGTACGGGTTTTTATAGGCGCAGTCTTGAAACTTTCCGATCGCACCTCGTATATGAATACAGAAATGGGTGTTGAGAAAATTGGTTAATCGCCCCTGTAAAGCCATTTCCAGTTAAATTCAGTTGTCTGCAATTATAAGTGTATCGGAATTATGAAATGGTACGAAACTTTAGACGCCTACATCGTCCAAACTAAAAGATAAATAATATACAACTTCGGCTTTCAGGGATGAGCCGAACTGGATGTCGATAATTATGCAACATTTTGGCAAACAGTGCAGTTACCATTTTCAGGGTGAATACGCAACTCTCCACCTACTGCCTGCAAAAGCGCTCAGACATTACATATTTACGCTGAAGATGTCTACTGAAATGCTTCCCGAAACGTTGGGTAACTTTCAAAATTCGACGCCGCTTATTCTCGAAGACCAAAATTAAAGATTGAACTCCAGCTGCGAAAACTTAATAAATGTAAATGTAAATGTGTCATTCTGCCATGTTCTCTGTCTCTGCTTTTCCTAAAAATAATGGAAGATACGCTATTTCTTTTCACATTTACACTATCAAATGTTTATGGGTGTAACAAGATGTTAGGTTTACTACGCGCAGATTGAAAGAGTAAGATATTTTGTCAATATTATATATAAAATGATAGGACTTTAAATCTGTCCCTATGACTTCAGTAAGAAAGGCCTGGAAAATAATTATAATAAAATACATCATAAAAATTAAAGAAAATATTCAATGTTCTGTTGTGTATGAAGCAGCTTAAATATAATAATTCTTTAAGTGTGGTCACAGTCGTGTGTGCTAAGGTACAACCCAGACTTAAAAGAGGGCTACTATTTATATAGGCCTAGCACGTCACATAAATTATATACTAACTATATTTATATATGTAACTTCAGTTCGCGCTTTGGAAATGTTTCAAATAAGGTTGCAGACCTGTATTTACGAACGTATGTATGTGTGTGTATGTTACATTGTTACTAAGGCAACTAATATTTTGTACGATGATCCATTTCTTATAACATTATTAGTTTAATTTTCGATTAGATTTTCGTGAAAATTAAGGTTTGTATTTAATTTATACATACGAAAATTACATTTCCTGGACACCTATTAATGTGGACTCCCGACGTCCAAATAGCGAACACTGAAACAATTTCCCAGTTACACATATGTACGCAAGAAAGGCATCGATTATTTTTTTACGCACATATAATGCTTCAACAGTAAATTATCCTATTGGTGTTATATTTCCAGTAAATTAGCCGATTGTTTTGTCGATGGTGTTATTTACACTGCAATGCTATTCTTAGGAGTACAAAACATCAAAGCTGCCGGCTGAGTTACAAGTCCCTGATATTCCCACGGGTAAGCCACAATGACACATGATATGTGGGGCGTGATGAGCATTCCCCGAGCCTGCATGTATCATGTTCGATCGTAACTCTTTAGAGGCTAGTGTTATTCCAATGTTGATACGATGTCGTGTGTTACGGATCACAAAATCTTAAGAATATTCAAAACCATTTGACAAAAGAACCAACACAAATACCATTAGTAGATCCACTGTTTAATCCATGTTATGTTTCATGCCACGGGCTATGTGCGCGCGTTTGTTAGCATACACTGAAGGCAAATATTACGTACGCATCTGTAACTGATAATGAGGCCGGTTGGGTCGCACGTTATTCGTATGAAAATGTACTGCCGGTCATAAATTCGGGTGCAGAAGCTATGTACCTCGAGCGGCGAAACCTTCTAAGCCCAGATCCGACCAGTGGCTACGTAAAGGTTGACCACTCTTACTCCACGGAGCCGAGTCTATCCTGAGAAGCCAACAGCCGCTAAGCCACTCACGAAGTTCAACATTTTATGGAACCCTAAGGTCCATTACTGTGTTCACAAGACCCTGCCATTGGTCCCTATCCTGAGCAAGATGAATCCACTTCAAACCGCCCCATCCCTGCCATGAATATCAAGAACTGAGAAGCACGGTGGTTCAAGTCACAGCAGATTTAAACGAAACGCCTCGACATAATGTCGTGACAGCAGAAGAGAAAGACAGGAAAATAAAAGAAAGGAGAACTGACTTTACAATAGAAAGTAAATGGTGGTCTAAAAGTTCAATAACCAGTTTTCTACTTTCATTTGTACCAACAAACATGGCTGTATTTTAGGTATGATGATGGATGACGTAAAATAGGTTCACGGTGAAGCGACTGGTACGTTTGATCGTGTTACTGAGAAATAGTAGAGAGGGTATTTGCGTTTGGTAAGAAGGCAGAAATCCTTCTTGCGTCATAATTAACGATTTTCTGTTTGTGTTGTAAACAACTACAGCAATAGGATTACAAACACGACTAATGAATTTGATAAAGCATTATTATATAAACCAAGAATCGCCATGTAGTATTTGCTAATAAAGCATCCGTCCGTCTCCCTACCATCTGATCAGGTTCGTGAGTCGATCCAGAAACACTAAATAGTTGTTTAGAAAAAGCCGTTAAATGAACCGGAAACACAACTGAACCTTCAACATTTGCAAAACTTTCAAAACGTTGAAAACCAGGAAACACAAAACAAAAATTCAGCCAATTGTTTTACACGAACGTGGAACATTTTCCCTTACTACAACACAAAAACATTAATTACAAGTGTTGTAAAACACGGTGTTCTGGAAAATATCTGGACATAACTGGGATAACGTAAAGGTAAAGTACAGATGTCAGTCCCCGGTACTTACTACGCACCACGACAAGCAGATCCCAACGCTAGGTGAAGGTTAACGGTTGGCTTCACGCCCCGTCCGTTTTATTTTTAGGGTAAGCGCTCTCGTTTCTCATTGGATGCTAGGGTGGGTGGGCCCCAGAACCGATCTAGGCACAGCCCCTAACGGGTATCAAACCCCGGTCGCATATCCCGTAGCCCCGTCACTACACTCACTTAAATTAGCAACTTCAGGCAGACCCATTGAATACACAACTAGGAACTTCGGGATGTGCACAGATAGCCTAAGATTGTTACGGTAATGAAATACAGGTTATAATAATTTGATCACATGCTAGGCAACAACTTTTATGGGAAAATATCTTTAAATACCCACTTAAAAACCGAGAAAGCAATAAGAGGATATTGGTAACATAAAGATAAGATTTCTGGGAGGATTAAACTCGCCCAGAATCTCATACAACAGCGGGCTTAATTGTCACAACTTTGCTTACAAACACATTCGCAAGGAAACGCCGAATAAAGCATACTTACATTATTAATCGTCTCTCTTGTCAGGCTCCCCAGGAAGCAACGCTGAACTACCTGATCACATTACACTAATAATTCACTGAAAGCAAATTGTCTTGCAAGCTAGTCAAGTTATCCACTGAACTACTAACAAACTCCAAAACAACCAGACACGTGACAGCGCACAACCCTTCTTCGCCATCACACCGACTGTCGCGCCACTTGACCTCAGACTACTCACGACCTCTACTATCCACGCTTAATTTTCCTCTACTGTAATTTCGCTCGCTAAAAATCGATCTTTTTATGCTCGATAGTATCGCCATACTGAACCACCTTCACGCTAGCAATTATCAACAACTGTTAGCAGAACCACACAAACTCTACCACCACCATCCCCCCTCCAAAAAAAAAATCACATAGCACACATATATAATTTCATTTTGGGAAGGGGTTGGTACATTCGTCTGTTCTAAAAAAAAAGCATAAATGTACTGAGGGTGTTCACACATAACTGTTACAAAAAAAAATCCAAACTCTGTTACCACCATTAAAAAAAAATTTACACATACTGAAAAGAAAGACATGATGTTCAAAAAACTAGTTACATGAAATCTATCAACTATTTCTAAACTTACTGCAAGTGTGTGATGCATCAGTTTCCAGCTGCAACAAATCTCATTTTCATTAATTTTGCACTTACAATCATGGCAATTTAATTCCACATTAAACTAACTCAATGGAGCAGACACTCAACTGGTCAAGAAATTCTCTGTCTTGCGTAAAACCCAAAGCTTTATCACCATGTTCGCAAGAGCCTGCCACCAGTCCCTATGAGACAGATCAATCCAAGCTACACCCTCCAACAATTATCAAAGGAACTAACAAGTAAATTAGCATATGCTCCTATACTTCATGCTATAACAGTCAGACTACGTGTGCCATTTAAGAAAAAAAGCTTAAATTTAAATATACACACCATTGAAGAACACAATGTGAATACATAAGAATTAGATTCAAATACTGGCAGCTGAAAGGTTAACAAAGATTAATCATGTTACTGGGGATACTGGGAATGACCCATTCCTCAACTGCCTGAGCACTGCAGGTCCCAACTTTTCGTTGGCTCAATGTATGGACATTCGGTAGGACTCCTTGGACGAGGGATCGGCCCATCGCAAGGCCTCTACCTGTACACAGGACAGCACAACACAGAAAGACGCGGACAAACATCCATGGCTTGAGTGGGATTAGAACCCACGGACCCAGCAACCAAGCGGCACGAGGCCCACGCCTCAGACCGCGCGGCCACTGCGGACCCCCATCATGTTACACAGACAGTTAAAAGTAATTCAAGAAAGAACTATTAACACGAACACAAAGGACACTATTTTAATCTCCATAGTTTGCAAAACACAATAATATTGAACATAACTTAAAGCAATAAAACCTATGACAAGATTTTCAGAGTTACCCAAAACTATAAACATTTAATACTGGTACACAGAACAGCATTTAAATTACATTACATGTACAGTGGAAACAAACAGAAGCCCTTACTGACACTACAGCTGTTAGCCTGAACGCATTTAAATTTTATCCCATAATTCATCAGAAAAATTGTTTGTTTTCTTTTCTTCTTCATATACCAACAAATGGATACTTGATAGTACTTGACAATGTACTGTGCCATACATAAATACAGACCAATGTCATACATACCCTGTGCTCCATGAAGTCAATTTTCTAACACATAATATCAAATAAGCACCTACTACTATTTGGAATGAAGAAAGTGCATTCTTCGCATGCTTGTGTAATGTGAGTTTTGGAACAAACACAATGACGACAACACTTAAACTTATGACTATTTCCACCAGATATTTGGCAATTATTTGGCTATTTAAAGTATGTCGACATATTCAAACACTGCAGTTAATCTACTCTACAGAGCTTTCATTTCCTTGATGGTTTAATTTCAAATATGGCAAAAATATACACGCTGAGTATTTTTATATACTACATGCAACTATGTGCAACATACAGCGAATGAAAGCAGAAAATCTATGAGCTTCATAAGACTAGAAAACATAATTAAAAGTCCTAATATTTTCCACACAGTACATCAATCATCACAAAACTTATTGAACATTAAAAACTGATACTACAGCCTACAGATTTCCACATATCAAAATAATAGCGAAAATGTGTGCTCCAATTTGTTAAGTAATTAAGGTAAGTATACAAAACTTCTGGAGAGGAATGTCTACATCAGTACTGAAAGATAAATTAAAATACACTGATATTCAGCCTCCATGTTTCTGCACAGCTCAAAACATACTACAAATTTCTAAAATCAGTGCTTGGGATCTTCCTGATGAATCCACTGTACAAGTCCAACAAGAAATACAAACAATTCATGACAGACAACTTTTCATGAAAAAAAATATATCACAACATAAAACAAGCCTTTACAACTGAATTTCTGGATAAAAGGCAATGATACTGTCTTCATACTTTCTCCATGCAAAGAACTTAATGACCACTACTCAACAACTAGCAATGTTTTCTCTAGCATTATTTCTAAACCACGGGAAAACATAAATACCAGGCCACCATAAATCAGCCAACCATAAGCAACCAGCAATCAACCAGCGTGTTTTATCAGCATCTGTATCACAAAATATTAATAATGTTCCAACAATGTTAAGGGAATAAGTTATCTAAGAACTGACTAACTGGACTAAGCAAAGATATCATACATAACATATCTGAAAAACACAGCGTCTCTACTAGGAATATAACAAAGCCAGAGAACATGTTGAAACACACAAAAGTTGGAATGCAGAAAAGAGCTGGGTAAATTTTCATGTCTAGTATTTTAAATATTAACAGCACATTATAAAGCAATGCAGGGCATCACGCGTGCAGACCTGTGTTGGTCAGCATCATTTTGTAATCAAGACAGTTTCCTGCTCCTGCTTAAAATATATACACATGATCTGCATGGTAGACTATGTGTTGGTATATTTTATTCAACGCTGAATTAACTGCAATGGTGGAAAACCTCACTGAGAATCTTAGGAATGAAAGATTTCTTTATAATATCAGATAACCCAAGTACATGAAAGAAACATCAAGCTTAAATCTGCCGTTATTATCACGGTCAACTCTCACACTTCGTTGCACACAAATCTGCTACTAGAGTTTCAAGAGTAGAACAAAAGTAAAATAAAACAACACAAACGAATGCCTTTGCTCCCCATTCAATAACTACCTTTTAATGACCAGCTGTGATCACTGACTACTTTCACTGTATTCACATACTAATCCCAAAACAAGTGGCAAAATGTGCATAAAACATTATATTATAAAGTAAATGAAAAGGTAGAAAATTCTGAATAACAATTTTGACCAATGATCAAAAATTATTTCCAGCATTACATACACAGCTCACTGTACAATTCTTTTAAGCCAACAAATTCAATTAAAATTATGCTGTTTTTTAAACAGTTCATAATCTGAGTCAGTTCCCAAAGCTTCACTGCCAGCCAAGAAACAACAATTGTAAGTAATACTACCTCTACCAGGAATGTTCAAATTATGCCACAAAAGACACATTCTTATAATACCAGATGCATCATTATATAAAATCTAATAATATACATGTCATTTCAAAATGAATGACAAGAAACATGTTATAAAATATCCCATACGGATCACGAACAGCCTTTTTATTTACCATTAAGTACCATGTGATAATTCAAAACAATGGAATATCACTGCACTGGAAATACAGATGTAAGATAGAGGAAAAACAAAACCCAAAGCCCAAATGTAAATTCTAAAATAAAAAGTTATTACATAATCATTTTTCTCCAATATCTGAAACAGAACAAAGCATCTTCATGCTTATTTTTATTCACTATTGTGACTACAAAAAGCATGTCTGCTTCATACCGACAGAGATGCGTTGAAGGTGCTCATTACTCAAACAACTTCAGACCTGATATCTTTCCATTCTGAAATGTCATCATTTGCATGACAAAAAATTAACACAGGTTTTACATGAGTAATTATGTTAAACAAAACATGGCATGTAAATAAAAATAAAATATCCCTGAAACCTACAGCACAGTGAAAAACCAAAATTTGTTAAGTCAGGTACTTTTTTTAAAAAAAATATTTCAACATAAAAATCAACCATTTGAAAATTTCTTAACTCAAATATGGAAAGACAACCTCTGTGAGAAATGCCTGTAATTGCATACCCTTCATGCTATTCAGCCACTAACACCTCATGCAATAATGCAAAATAATCTCCTAAGCACTTCTATATTCATCCCCAGAGGTCGTGGACAATGCCCACTAACATGATGATAGCTAAGTACTTCTAACATGACATTCATCATCAGGGGTTGGCAACTTGCAGCCCTCACAGCCTTTTTATACAGCCTATGACACAATTTGGCAATTGGTAAAAATTTTTGGTTACCAAGGAGAACATTGATATAAATACAGAAGGAAACAATCATAAAAATACTTTTTGAAACAAATACAAATTTTGCAGATGTATGCTTCTAATTTTAAAATCACATTACTATGCAAAAGTACATTGTTCCATTGTTCAAACTATATCAAAATTTAACAAAACATGAAAATTACAGTGGTATTAATAACTGAAATTTTATAAAATTAACCATGACTTGAAATCAAAATTGTTTGAAACCTAAAAAACATCTTCACAATAAACTCAGTTGTATGGAGAAACATACCCATCTGTTTTTAAGTGAATACCAGCTCTACTCTTTTTGTTAAAGAAATATAGTTTCACTTACATTCCACATTAAAAAAAATTTCCTGCAATCCTCAACAAAGATATGAATAACCAATGCAGCCTGTGGTAATGATGAATGTTTACAACCCCTGTTCTACATGATGATGGAGATTATTTTGTCTGGAGACATTACAATGAAAAAAAGAGGCTGAACAAGCACACGAGGCATGTGGATGGCAATCACCCTCATAAGAAAATACATTTGCTAGACGGGTAGATAAATTCTGACATCAGAAGTAACCTGTGCCCCACACATAACAGGCCACAAATTCTTTCTGATCAGCTCTTGTAATTTGGGGGGGAACACATCAGTGGTTCTGACTGGTCATCCAGTATCCCATCTAGTACAATTTATAACTATCTTAATTATTCATAACAGTAGCAGTATGCATTAGGATGATTTCATCAAATATCAACAATTCTAACTACATCTTAGTATTAATAATTATTAAAATAAGTAATATAATGTATGAAAGTCACTATAATAATACAGATTCTATTTCGATTGACTTGCAAAAATGACATCCCTTTCTGCTCAATGCAATGTAGTTATTGAAATTAGTATTTTTAATTTATATTTGGTTCAATCTTACATTGGGAGTATTGTCAGCTGTATATCAAACAATGTAACTGTACTGCAGTTACACAGTTTACGCCATTTCTAATTAAATGGGGCTGAAACAACGGTCACACTGAGAATACACAATCTGTGATAAAATACATACAGGATTTAACAAGCTGAACTATGATGTTCAACAATATTCTAAAAGAACGAAAGAATCATGAAAAAATCTGCTTCTTGCTAACGAAGATGACCATTTCTAATAATGTTACTCTTAAAGTTACATATTTTTACAAAATCTAACAGTGATTAGCACTACTACCGTTTGACTTTGAATTTTCTTGGTCATCAAGCTGATGATGGGAAATTAAGAAGTGTCAAGAGAAATTGTCTCCAATGGCATACCAAGTTTCACAAAAATAAAGGGCACTCCTGTGCATCATACTGATGTCCCTCACAGAATCTGATGATAAACAGACCAAGACATCTAAGCAGTTTGGTAATGCAGTAATGAACAAGGAACAGAATTCCTTCAGAACCCTAAATAGGAAGTTTCGTTTGTAATTTTCACAGAATCGACAGTGAATATTCAATTACTCCCACAATGTACATCCTTGAGCAGCCAGTCTGTTAGAAATATCGAGTATATTCTTTTTGTACATGAAATGTTATCGCTGATGGAACAGTTGCATCTCTCACGTCAAAAATAGAAGAAATTTTTCCATGCTCTACTAAAATCCACTTTTTATGATACTAACCTCTTTATGTCCAAAAACTTGCACATGGTATAAAAAGCAAACAAGAGAAAAGATTCCTGAGTAACAAATGTAAGAATCTTAAAAAAACTCATCCAGAAAAAGGACAATCTGACATTTCTAAGTTAAAGTGAACAGCCAATATAAAAATCAACTGGTTCAACACTCTCGCCTTTTCTTATGAAAATTTCTTAGATTGTATTATTGTTTTTGTAACTTTACCAGAACATGTTCTAACCATTTTTGACATTGGATACTGTCATATGAAAGTAGTTGGTATGACAGTGTTATCAGAGGAAAATGGTGGGGGAGTCATAATATAGTCAGTATGTCTGCATCCACACGAAGGGAGCATTGAGGAAAACCATAAAAAGTCTTTAACCATAAAATGTTTGCAACTTTCAACAAAAGTTTAAACCATAAAATTATGATTTCCTTAAATAAAGAAATACAGTTCTATTTCTCATGTTCTACATATGACCTCTGTTCTATTACCTAAAATTAACATTTACAATAAAGTATTATCTGTGTCCCTAGTATAAATGGACTAGAGAGTTAAATACTTTCCTGGCCAACCAATAAAATTATTAGGTTCTCATAGTGCCAAGTATAAAAATGGCTGTCTTCTGGGATGTTGTACCATTAGTCTCACAGCTACTAGCTCACATTTCAGAAGAGTCTACTGCCTCCATCATAAATCAATACTTAGAATACTATACAGTGAAACAACCCAGAAGGCAGCCATCTTCAACTTATTACTGATTTAACCTACAAATTAAATTAACAATTTAATCCATGAATTACAGTTACTGACTTAACTATAAATTTAACTTCAGACAAGTAGACCTACACTTATGAAGCATAGGCCACACTCTCATCTCTATCTATAGTTCCATTGCATGACACAGAGGTCAACAGAGAGTTAAGTTATAATTACTATTCAGAAGCACCATGTAAATTGTATCCAATGGCTACCACTTGCTACACATTATTTCTAGTCTTCTGCACCTTCAATACAAAAGTGCAATCAAGAGTATTGACATATAACTCTAATGATGGACTTATTTGCAATTATGTCAAAACAAACATGTGAAAATTATTTCTATTTGCACTTAAAAATATACATAGCAGCATGTTCTACTCCATGAAGGTTCTGAATAAATTCCGAACACTTTGCCAGAACAAATGAATTTCATGTGAGATTTCATGATTCTTATGGTAGCAAGTACAAAGACATTTGTCTTCATTGGTTTTATATCTTTTTGCTTATTCTAGTTCACATGTGTGTGTACATACATATATTAATAGTTAAAACTTTAAAATAGGTGAATAATGAAATCAGTAAGGTATGATGCTCAAATTTCTTACAACAGTAAAAAAATGTGTGATAATTTGTTTCATAAAGGTTATGGCAGCTGTACTGGAAATAATTACATAAAAAGATAACTACTAAGGCCAAAAATAGGACTACTAACAAAGAAAATCTATTTTCTTCCTGCATATATTACAAAATTTACTAGCCAACACTCAATCTGGAGCAAAATTCATAATACTGAAGGTTTCCAAAATTCACATGTAATAATGAAGTAAGTCAAACAAACACACAACATTCCAAAGTTGCAACCTGCTATTCTCTTTTTATCATTACAAAGCTGAAGAGGGTGGTAGCCATTGGATTTTTACTTGGCAGTATAAAGTACAGAAAATGTAACAGTGATTTTGTTGTTACATACCTAAAATCCAGTTAATCAAAAAATTATTTCCTATATGAAATACAGGAAATAATTCCAGAAAAGGACTGACTATACCAGAAATGCCCAACTAATTTTACTGCAGGCCAAACGATGTTTCTGCTAAATGAATTATTTACTCTCTAGATTAAGCTTTTGCAGAAACAATGACAGAAGACTTGAAGCAATGATATATATGTAACATCACTGCCACTTAGTGGAGCAAAGCACAAATTCTGTGTTTTGTAATCACTTATAGTAAAATTCACAACTTAAAAGAGTCCAAGCCAACCTCTGAGAGCTAAATGTAATATTGGAAACTAAATTTCACTTTAAATTTAATAATTGAAATACAATTTTTATGTATGATGTAGGACATGCATACTTCAAAGCAAACAATTTGCTGTAACAGTAAAATCATTAAAAATATTTCTGCAATCTCTGTTTTAAGATCTAGACTCCTGAGAAACTCTGAGAAATGTCCAAAGTTCATAATGCTGTTGTTGTGTACATCACAACTGCTTAGTTCAAATTCTGCTTCAGTTTTTAAAAGGCAGGAATTTTTCTCTTCATTACCATGTCCAGAATAGCACTGGACCTACTCCCAACCACCTATTCAATGGGTACCAAGGCCTCTTTCCCCAGAGACAAAGCAGCCAAAGCATAAAGCTGACTAGTCAGATACACCTAGTGCTGAGATCAAGAATGTATGCAGCATCACCTCCACTTCCCCATGCACATTCATTATTTCATTCCATAATGTGATGCTTAAAGTTTATTTTAAACTTATCCAGAAGGAAGACACATGTCCGTGATTTAATATTAGTCCTAAACGCTGCATCATATAACACACCTCTTTCTGACCATTTATTAATAGTGCATCGTGAATTTTCTTCCCGTCAGAAAACGTGCAAGCAAATGTTTGATTGTGATGCGGCGATCCTTTCTACATACATTCTGTGCCAAAGTGACAATAAGTTCCACTTCTTTTTATGGGGAAACAGCGTGTTCACCTTCAGGTAAGAGAGATAAATGGATATTTTTAATAAGGCCAACTCCTAAAACTAATGTGTCAGATTTTTTCTCTGAGTCACATCTAGCCCACAGTCCGTATGTTGGGCACTCCTGACTGACTTGACTATATTATGATAAAGGAAACATTGTTTCAGTTCTGTTACATTTTTCTACATTTAAAAGACTGACTGGATTATGCATCACTTTTCTTGCTCTGTACCATGAATATAACAAAGCTTATAGCCCAGTCTCCATAATCAGAACATTTTAATGTTTTTAGTCATCTTCATTCATCAGTAATAAAAGACTGCGGTATTATTTGGTAACACTATGAATTAAATGCAATCACTTAAATTCAACTTGATCACAGGCTGGTATTATAAAGTACTATAGTAGGCCAACAGTTGAGTTCTGTTCACAGGACTTTGCCTTGGATGATGTCATCACAAAATCAGTGACCGTGGAAACAGGTTCATTTCTGCATAGTCATCAATGATCTGAAACAATTTATAGTATTAACAGTACTAAAACCCCACAAAATTGGTTGCAAAATTCAATTCATACATGCAGACATGTAGACATACAGAAAAGAAATTTCTTTGCTATGCATTTATGAAAGTAGAAGTACATTTTAATTTAAGACATTCACCTAAAAAAATACTTTGTTTTATACTTCTCACTTATTTTTATGAGAACTTGATTGATAAAAGTAATAGCAGAAGTAAGAAACTTTATTTTTAAATTACCATAAATTTAGTTCAATAACTTTTCGAGACACTAGAAAAATTAAACACATTTAACAGTATTCAGAAAATCCTTGCTGACAAATATGTCACTTTATCATTCTTCATCAACTGTCTATATTTTATATCAAATAGTTCAAAAACTTTAGAAGTAGAAGATAACACTCATCCAGAAGCAACAACACATCTTATACAATTTCAGACAAATTAAATGGTATTCAGAAAATCCTAACACAGCAAACATTTGGTATTTTGCCAAAAATCATTTAAATACTTCCATCCGTATGGACAGACTAAGAATAATTAAAAATTAACTAATGCACACCTTACAACCCACCTTTTGCATAAATCTGAATTACAAATATCTTAAAGTTTTAAGATACAACCTGAAAGTTTCACATTATTGCCACATTTGTAAAAAATAAAATTTAATATTGTGGTCAACTGTTTAGCACTCCTACTTTGAATTTTATAAATCTCAGTTTCAAATCTCAACCTGGGGTCCAGTTATCCTGTCTGAAATCTTTCAAGGTGTTCTTAGTCCCTCCAGGCAAAATCAAGATTACTATATTAAATTAGGCCATGACCACTTCTTTCAACATCCTTTCCAATTCATCATTCACCACTCATCCAATCATTTGATAATGTATGATAAGAGTTACTGAAAGCACCATTAAATAACAACATGAAAATAAAATATAATAATTATGATCATGATGATAATTACAACAACTTCACAATAGTTCTCTGGAAGCATTATAGCCTATCAACAAACTAAATTTCATATTACTATTATTGGATTCATAGACTTTATCCAGTAAGTTTTAATGAGCTGTCACAATTTTCCAACAGATATGCTGCTCAATTAAAGTAGGTGTTCAAAGATCAAGTCAGAACACGCGTGCAGTCAAACTGAGTTTTAAATTTACATTTTTACATTTTACTGTATGTTCAAAGTTCAGTCTTGTCTGATCACATCAGCACAACATTTATTATATAATATGGTTATTCTAGTGCAACTGCTACTTTAGATTAAATTCTTAATTAATAACAAACATTATTAATTATATAAAAATATCAAGAGAGATACATGTGGGCTAATTTTACAGGCACCCTGCACCTTGCTCAAAAATGGTCATAACTATAACCCAACACCAATGGCAGTCTACCATACAATACATGAAACTTTAAACTAAAAAAAAACACATGTATGAAATTTCACTAATACTCCAAAACTCACCTCCTGCAATTTGTTTCTGGTAATCTGAGGAACGAGCCATGAAAATCCAGTACTCTCAAGTTTACTAGGATCCAGGTACAGATGTTTATTATATAGCAGCTCTTGGTCAATATACGGGGTTAATGGTGTATTCTCCACTCCACTTTGATTACAAGCCTCAGCCCAAGGTCCAAGGTGTTTGTCATTCACTTCATCTACTAAGCTAGCCATGTCTAGCTACAAACAAGGAAAGAATAATTAAACCCTGCTAAAAGTAATAAACATGAGAAACTGTCATGCCCCCGCTCCCTCATCAGTTCTGCTACAATTGCCATGGGACCTACACCATCTGCAACTTATTTTTATTTAAAATATGTAAAGGTTAATGAACAACTTCATCTACCAAAGTATTAATTACTGTACTTATGACTATAAGTTAACCCTGGACATGACAGTACCCACTCAATAGTTAAAACTTAAGAAAAAAATAATAATTTTATTACATTCCCACATAATTTTCTTAAGCGTTGATTCATTACTTTGTTCCCCAATTTCATTGTAATGGTTTATTTGACTCACACCACTGGTTAGTAAAAGGAGTTATATGCATAATATAAAGACTCTCTGACTTACCAACAACTTCATTGGCACATGGTACACCCTGCTCTGGCAAATTGGTTATAGTGGTATAAATCATTACATTAGATGTAACCTTACTGAGGAAAAGCCTTAATAAGTAATAAAAATATAAGCATTACATCTGGAGTAAATGAAATGTCACAATAAAAACTTAAGTTAAATCATTTTATTTTTAGGCTCCAGTTCGATTGGTTCTTCTTTTTCCGGTTTAACAATGTCTGTACATTTTCTGGTACCCTTTACTGGTCCCCAAAGTTTTTCAGTTGGCTTGATCTATTGACATCAGTAGGACTACTTGGACGAGGGATCGGCCCGTCGCAAGGCCTCTACCTATTTACAGGACAGCACAACACAGAAAAACGCGGACAAACATCCATGGCTTGAGTGGGATTCGAACCCACGGTCCCTGCGACCAAGCAGCACAAGACCCACGCCTCAGACCGAGCGGCCACTGCGGACCAGTTTGATTGGTTTAATGTTAAAAATCACGAATAACTAGCGTAGATGAGAAGTCTTTAAATACATTAACTGCTGTTCTTCTTGGTTTTGGCACAATGTAGATTTGTTGGTAGGTGCCAATGTCTTTAAGAAATATAATCTTTCCACCTTCAGGGCTGAAGATGGAGACAGTTTCTCTGAAACAATGGTATATACCGAGTCTACAAGCTGCAAAAATCCACAGCATTCCCACCACTGTGAAAACCTAAAATCTTCAAATTAATCAGTTCTCATACATCCTTACAAATGTACAGGTTAGGAGAAATGGAAATTGAAATATAGTGTTATAAATCTGAAGTAAATACTAACCTTACACAATGACAAGCTCACTGAGCCCCAATAATCATGGTTAATGTTGAATATCTCAGACACCAGATTGCTAATCATTCCTTGAGTAGTGTCACCTTTGTCTACTACATTATAAATCTGAGACAAAGTATCATCTCGTATTGCCAAGTGCCATATAGCACGGCACAGGTCAGTCACATGAATTGTGTTCATCTTCAGGTCTTTGCCCCAAAGAAGCTTCATCATTTCACCAAGATGTTTGTACACTGCACCAATCACAAGGCGTGGTGCTGAAAATATATATTATATGTTGTCTTATCTCCTCGCAGGTAACAATGGATAACAGAAATGGTTGATTCAGAGCAGGAGACTAATAATGCGGAAGTCAGATAATTTTAAATAAAGCACTGCAAGATTTCCAGAGTCTCAAGTTTGAACTTTAGCATTCATATTCTTAAAAAAGGCACTTAAACAAACTGCCTGATTGGAGAGAATTCTACCTTGTAACTATGAAATTTAACAATTTTGTGCTTATCATAACATACTTCAAATTCATACTGTTTTATGTCCCTCTATACTTAATCTCAAAATACTTGACATAGTATGCCTAGTTTTGTAAGTAATTTACCTTACAAGAGTTTCATCTTAAAATACAAGTCAATCTTGCAGTCAATAAACACAACCAACTGTAGTTAAAACATCAAAATGATGACTGCAAGTACCGATTTTTGTCTTTCCAACAATAATCCAAAGTTCAATACTTTCTCTGTATGTTCTATTTCCTAAATGTGCACCAGATAAAACGCAAACACCTTGTTGTATCTATATTCACTAAAGAATGCAGTGGAGAGAAATATAGTTTAGAATAGAAATAATTCTTTTAGAAAGTACAAAAGAAAAATGTTCACCTAATTGTCATTTCCAAAATTCAGTTCTTAAATAAAAAAAAATGTTGGTTAGTATATCCAAAGAAAACACAACATTTAAACCTTATACAGTAAAACCTCTCTAGTTGGACACCCCTATATCCTGGACACCCCTCTATATTGGACACTTTTAATTGGAACCAGCAAATATCCTATAATTTTACATTGCCACAATACCCTATATCTTGGACACCCCTCTATCCTGGAACTTGAACACCCATTGTGTTGTAAGTTGGACAGGTTCATGCACTTAGCTTCAATGCTTTTATGGGAAACGTTTACAGTTAGTATTTTGTTGCTTTGAATTTCTGACTTCTACCTGAGGATTACCTTATGTTTGAAGGTGTGAGACTTTGAACACATCAATGGAATTATTTTGTTGAACCCTTCACTGGACTACAGTACGTATTACTGGTACAGTTTTAACTTTGTCAGTACTGAGCTTGCAACTGAGTTAAACAGAAATTGGAACGGTGTGCTTTCGCTCATAATCAACCAGGAATGGTTGAAACTTTATTCTGATTGCGGCGAAAATTAGAAAGAGGATGGCAAATTCCAAGATAAAAGCAAAAAAGCAGTGTCTTGTGACGGAGTTTTTTACAAGAAATAAGTGACATCATATGTTGAGCTAATGCCTTAAGTACAATTAAAAAGAATACGTTCTGAACATTTAAAATTTCATTGAGGCTGGGGTGTAATGTGCAACCACGAGAGTGGGTTTCAAAAGATTATTATAATTAATAATTAAATTATTCTTAATTCGATCAAGCCTACAGTAGTTAGATTATGTAAGTAAATAGATTGATTGCATTGTCGGTAAACGTAAAGTATTGGCGCCCTTCCCTATGAGCTTATCCATGCAAGTTTAATTTAGTGAAAACAAAATTTGTAAAAATTTAATTTACCCTTTTGATTTTTCTTATCAATAATTTCCTTTTTGTGAAGGGCTCCATAATACTTTACAATTACCACATTGTTATTACACGACAATTTGAAAGGATGATTTTCCCCCTTTCCCTCTATCCTGGACACCCCTGTAAGTTGGACACATTATCGTGGAACCGCTGGTGTCCAAGTTAGAGAGGTTTTACTGTACCTACACTGTCCTGGTATTGAAAACTCCCTGTATGTAGTCTTTGTCAGCTTTCCCAGAATGATAAAGAAAATTTATTTCTCTTATTAATGTGTGTGGAGGTCATACACATAGATATAATTATAAAAGCTGCCTCTGCCATCTGCTGGTTAGTAAGCTAAATTATACATCGGTAATATTTCATGACAAATGTGATCCTGAGTGAGATTAAGGAGAGGATATTCACATTTCTACAAAAACAAAACAAATCAGAGCTGTGCAAAAAAGCATATGTAATTTTGTTTTAGGAATGAGGGTTAAGTCATTAAAAAGTATATCAGCTAGTAAGAGTACAGTTATGGTATCAAATTATATTTTTGGATATGATGGTCAACCATCTGGCTGTTCACAAAAGAAATGTTTTCCCCACCATTACTGCCAAAAACATTAAAAATTTGACTGTTTTACACTACATATAATATTTTTTCAGATGTCATAAAACCAATATGACAAGCAGAATATGCATAAAATTCCCTTCTCTTTTACAAAGATTTTTATGTGATGTTGAAGAGCTTGACTATGTACATTTAAAAAAACATAACAGTACCTGTGTCTTCACAAGTTGTTTAGTACAAACCACAGGACAAAAACAATGCACTACACATCTAGGTAAAAACAGATAGAGGGTTAAGATATTGCCCTTGGATTCACACAAAGAACTTAGGAAAGCCACACAAAAGTTATGAAAATAGCTAGAAATAAACCCATAAAATTCTCAATTACAAATCAAGTGGTAACTGTTACACTAAAACATACATTACTTCAAACTTCATAAACTGGTTGTCACATTTTAGTCAAATCTATATAAGAAAAAATGTATGAAAGTTGAAGTGCTGTTGCATCACTCTCTATGACCATAATATGCATATTTATTACAATTACATTTATTATCAGGTTTATCTCAATCCTCTGAATGTGTCAATAAATCTGCAAAAGGGAAGTGTCTTATACATAAGCCAGAAACCTACCCAGGCCATGTCGATCACCAATTCCATATACAATAGCAGGCCTTACTACTGTGAAGCGAAGGCCAGGAATATTATGAAGTTCTTCTTCCACCTGTCTCTTAAACTTAGCAATATACGTCCATGGTTCCACTTTCCCATCTTCTTTGTGGGGAACCTATAAAAATTAGTGAACACACAATTATATATAAAACAACACACTCACTGCTGTGAAAACCTAAAATCAAATCTAGTAACATTCATGTTTGGTACCACCACAGTGCATTGTAACCTGCAGTATAGGTTTACTTTTTTGAGCCCTGCTGAAACCATAAATACCTAATGTAATGGTTCTTTCCTATAAAACGCAGCTTTTTGTCAATTTTGTACACAAGCAGTGATATGTGGAACCTGATCTTAAAATTACTGCATTTAAAATAATTAAATACCAGTGTTAATTTCATACATGTAACATTATGTTTCTCACATGTTAATTGTCTGTTATGGCTACAACTCCTCATATGAGTTTCACAGTGATAGTAACTGCCTGGTAGGGATGAAGAGGAAGGTTACCTCTGCAGATTTCTTGTACTAAAAATAATCTAAAATACATGTGAATTATAATATAAATTAACCTAAAAATAAAATTGCTACAGTATTCTGACACATTTTATCTCATCTCCACTGCCACCATCCAAATTCCTATCACTGGTTTTATATTGTGTCACTACCACTTCCATCAACAAACATGATTCCCTCGTACAATTCCCAAAACAGATTGTAATGCAATATATTCATCTTTGCACTTCTGTACATGTTACTTCTCTTCCCTTAACCTGATTTGGTTATCTAAGTTGTAAATTATATATTTTTTATGTATTCTTTAATGCACATCTTTGTCAGTTCAAACAGATTTGTGATATAGAGGCAGCCAGAGAACATGTACATGTTTGTTGTGAAGCGTATCTACTTTTTAGATATTCTGAACTTTGATTCGTTCACCTTAACAACACAATATATTTCAGGTTCGCAGCATTTGGATGGAAAGCAAATCAGTTTTCACGATATAACTTTATATATATATTTATCTGTACACAGTGATAGGTAGCACTATCATTTACTAAAATATTGTCAGGTTACTGGTTTGAATAAGTTTTAAAGCCACTTCTTATGGTCTATGAAATGAGCTAACATTTTGTAGAAATGCTAATACAGTGAAACCTCTATCCATCGTTCCCGGAACTATCGTTTTCCCGGATGCATCGTCCGTTTTGTTCGGTCCCGAATACATCCCATATAAAATAATGTTACATTTTCCCGCTTCTATCGTTCCTCGAACTATCGTTTTATCGCATCGATCGTTCAAAAATCGTAGTCCCGGCCCACAATTTTCCCGCAATGATCGTTCCTGAGAATTTAAAATGCTGGGTTTAGAGATAAATTAATACCGAAAGACGCACAATGTTTTTGGAATAAACAGTAGCGGTAACCTGTTATGTCGCCCAACCAGCACATTCTTTTGGAATGAGGGTCAGCGGTGCAGGGGTGATAGTTGGAGTGAATGGCGGTGCCCATTGTCAGAAATTTTACGATTTTAATTAGGGTGCACTCATATTTCGTTCCAGCGATGCCAGATGGCATGTGCAGTGTGAATTTCTTCACAAATGCTTTTATTACAAGGACAAAGGAAAGGCCGCTTAATATTAGTGAACGTGACGAGGAAAACATTTTGAACGTGGAAAGTGCTCTGTTTGGTCTAAAACGTAAAGTTTCGACAAACCAGTTGTCCACTAAAGACTTTTTTGGTAAAAAGAAGTAACTTTGAAAGAGAAACATTGTTTTTTTTAAATTTTTAATGCTTTCCCGCATCTATCGTTTTCCCGCATTCATCGTTTTTATTTCCCACCCCCGCCGAAAACGATGCATCGAGGTTTCACTGTATTGTGCAATCAACGTAATGCTTGGTAGTGTAGAGTGGGAGGAATTAAATTTGCAGGAGAAATTATGTCACAGCTATTGCACAAGAAACAGCTATTATTTCCACATTTTTATCAACTTCTGCTTACAAGTAAACAAAAGCAATGTGTACATAAGTGAATTTTTTAAAACTGGAAATGAGGTTAGAGGGGGTTTGCAGGGTGCAGGCATGACAAACACAAAACCAACCTTATTCGAGGAACACATGTGACCAGTGGATACCTCAACAAACCTCTTGACATTCAGTTTGGCTGCTTCTGCAGCACAGTTCAAGCTGAGTTTTAAAATTCCTTCTCTGTAGACAGGGTCAGTTTGTCCCACTTTTGTTTCACAAGCACAATTTATCACGTAATCCCAACCACCCTCTTCTACTGACAATGCATACTGGCAGGATGCTGAAATTGAATTTATTATTTGTTTATTTATAACTTATTTAAAGATGGTGTTAGTAGCTCAGACAATATAATACAAGGTGATAGGATGATTAACCGTAAAGGATACAAAAGGAAGCCATCATGGCCTAATTTAAAGTACCATCCTGGCATTTACCTAGAGGGACTGTGATTTCTCAGATATGAAGCAGGTGTCCTAATCACTCAACCACCTTCTTTAGTTTGAAGTAAACAAACAAACATATTCAATTATGAGCACTAAAACCAATCTGCCTTATAAATTTGAAAACAAACACAATTTATTGCCTGACTTTCTTTGCTATAATGAAAAATATAAAGACTTAAGGGTGATAATGCATTTAGTTGATAAAAACCATTTTACAACACAGCAATAACTGAAGAGACTAATAAAATCCATTAGAAACTCCAGTAAGAAATCTGTTTCAGACAAAACTAAATCTAGCCTCCAAAACAGGAAAAAGATGGTGAAGGAGAAAACAAAAGTTAATTTGTTAAATTCTCATACAGCATAAAAACAATGTACCAACTACAAAGCTGTCTAGCTCTCTCTCAATCTGTAGAAAACAAAACAAAATAAAATAAATTCCAAATATTGCAATCATATTATAATGTGAGACCACCAAACCACAGACTCATGCTAGCTACCATGGTGGTAAGAGCATACAAGTACTCACTTCTGTAACAAAATTCAAACCACATGGTTTAAACAAATGTAAGAACATATTCTACAAGCAATGGTGATGTGCCTGCGGCAAAACCAGTAACTTCAAATGTGGCATTTAAATGTAAGCAGCCTCAGCAAACAAGTTGTTTGTATTTATCTATAAGTATCAGTATATTAATTTAAGACATACCAGGATTTATCAGGTTGGCACTTTTAAATTGGACTTTAGGAATATTAAATAATTGTTGGTGTTTGTCATTGAGCCATGCAGTTTGTGGTGGAACTTTGTCTACCACACGCACTGCTGATACAAGGTCATTTTCAATCAGGTACTGTACAAGGTTTCTGCCAATGAAACCACAACCTGAAAGAAGAAAGTTCATATTGAATACAGCACCTACAAATTAAATAGTGACACTTTATTTTTCATTTACATATATATTTAAAAACAGGATGCATATTAAAGAAACGTTATCCCCAACAAAACATATATATTAGTTTGCAAAATAAACTGTATGACTGACACACTTTTGTGTTATCACATGCATATTTTCACCTACTACCAAATGAAAACGATGTTAGAAAAGGTATCTCAAAACAATAGCCTGCTTACATAAACGGCAGAAAAATTTTAGTTTCTTCGAGAAAAGCTCCACGGGTGACTCCTTTTTCAAAGCAAGTGTCTTCACAAAGCGGTTTTTAAAGTTAAAGTAACCTTACATTCGCAAACATACAGCAAATCAAAGTGAAACTACCGATAAAGAAGCGGTGATAACACAAACAGAACACACACAAAGAATGTTATAACACAGTGTCAATTTTTTTCTGGAATACCATATATAATTCCAATTTTCACTACCTACCTCCTAAAATTACTACACTAGGTTTTGCCATCTCTCCACCATCTGCCGCCATGACGACACCCACCGGAACCGGATGTGGTATGTGTTAAAAGTTTGACCTTAAGGTTCACTGGATATGTTACGTAATTAATATTCCATGAAGCCCTGCTGTAATACAATCTCTTATTGAGGTTGAACAATTTCCTGTGCACACATATAAACAGATGTGTTCTTAGGTAGGATCACAGGATGGCAGTTAGCACATATAATACCAGAACATTAGTTTCTTCTTACTTACCTAATAAAATCAGTTGAAATTAAAAAGAAAAAATGTATGTCCCTATAACTGTCCATTCAATATAAACACCGGGTTAACCTACCCTATCAAAACGATTGTAATAAACATTTGTTTTCCCCAACCTTTGTCCTTTCTGATGTAACATTGGGGTCCAGTCTTCAAATTTTGGGGTTCTCACATATGCGATGATCTCCCATTTAAACACAGAAGATGGGAGAGATCAACCATAACAGTACAAGGATGAAAATGGGTACATTTAATAACATCCATAAAAGCATTATGCCAAAAACTGTATTAGCCCACAATATTAAGTTCAAGTCCTAAAATGAACAGATACTTATTATAAAATAAATCAGTATATGGAGATCAACTAATAGCAAATTTTATGTTTCTCATTCAAGGTCAGAAATGGGTGGAGAAATATCGATTACAATATATTAAGGAAAAATATTTCTCCCACTTCACCATCATAATATACATTACATAAATCTCCCAAATTTACACACATAACTTGTTAAACCCTCATCTACAGATGAACTACATTTCATGTTACTGTCACATATAGTCATTTTAAAATAGTATTAGAAAATATTTTAATCAGCAATAGGTTTAAAATATTCATTGGCAGCAATAGAAGCAGTGACACCTTTCATATTCTTCTGAGGTATTTTTCAATTTATTTAAGTGCAAAGCATTGTCATATGATCACCTTTGTAAATACAGTGCAGACAGTGAAACTGGCTCTGCCAGGTCAGTTAATGTGTGACTGAGTTTAGCCAAGATGAAGCAGCATGGCATGTATGTTGCATCTCTCATAGCAGATTTCTTTCTACGCAGACATACAATACAGTTGTCATTGTTTGTGTGCTGGGATCTTGGTATGTATGCTTACAGTTGTATAGATCTCTTTCCTTTTTGAATGTCTGAGAATATCTTTTGTTTACAATCATTAAGCAGATTGGAACAGAGGATCATATAATAATTACTTCTAAGAAATGTTCAGTAATATTGGTGAAGATACCAATATTTAAAGAAATCATACACATACTTAAGAATAAAATATTTCATTTTTAATATTTTATCTTGTACACAAAACTGTTCAGTTTATGGTAAACTAGACACATTTTTCTGTTCCAAACAAGTTCCTGTTTAACACAGGTACTGAACTTCTATACAAAAATATCACATAGACTTCCACACTGGTTTATGAACCTAATCACACACCTTTCTCTCGTCAGTTGTCATGTAATGCCTTCTGCACATATTTTGTTGACGGTCAAGTTTAATTTTTATACATTTGTGAAAGAGATGTTCTGTTCAGACAGCTCTAGGAAACAGCTGAGAACATGTGCATCAAGTTCTGCATGAAACTTGAAAAGATAATTACAAATATCTGTGAACTATTTAAATTTGCATTTGGGGAAGGAACTCTTAATCTCACTTAGGCATTTGAGTGATCTGCTTGAACTAAATTGCTCAGATTTCTGTTCTGTCTACTATTAAAATTTATAAAAATTGTTTTTGTTGTTACAGTATTATTATTGTTATTGTTATTTCTGCTATTACTCTTTGTTAATTTCACCATTTGATAGGATAGATATATTTATGACTAAGGGTATATCATGTCCCTTGGATGCATATAGAATTTTATATGGAACTTTATATTACATGCAACTGAAATAAAATTAATACCTATATATTATGTTATTGTCTTACAGAACATTTACTGGAAAGACAATGACATAATATCCCGATAACTCGGGATATTATGTCACTGTCTTTCCAGTAAATGTTCTGTTCCCAGACTGGTCATTTTCTGCAGTTCCTTTACAGAATTTATACCAGAGATGTCACCATGATTACAAGTGATTTCAGAATGATTCCAATGCTCCCATATTTACTGATGTTATTTTCATCTGTTTATCAATATCATTTCCTCACACACTGTTTTTTCATATATGCATGTCCAGAACTTTGTCAAAAATGCACAACCAACACGTTATTTATAATATAAAATATGCTTCTTCTAATTACAGTCTTCAGAATAATTATCTGAAAATCAGAAATGTTCCTAGAACCTTCAGGTGTCTAAATATCACATGCAAAGATTGTATGTAAATGTTTCAGACACTCTGCTTTCCTGCATAGCAAAGAATGCTTGTTTTCTTAAGAGCTATTTTTTAATATGTTAATGTATAATTTTCTTCTAATTATAAAATATGTACCAGTAATTCATACGAGTGTACATCCTACACATCTGTCAATTTTGGACCTGACTGCTTAATATTTTCAGGAAATTCAGGTGTCATCAAAAAGCTTTCAGAAAAAGGAATGAGTGTCTCATTTCTATCTTGGAATGATAACATGACTGTGATAACCAATGCATTAGCAGCATCTGCTAATTCAGGCCCGATTGGAGCTGTTCTGGATACATCCTGTGATTCAGCTGTACAGGTTTTAACACAGGTAAACTGAGAATATGCCACTCTTCATAAGATACAATTTCTTATTTAAAGTTTCCTAAACATAATTATTCACATTTATATAAAAAATTATGCTGCTGTAAAGATGTTTACATTTATACCAGTTAAGCTAAAATTTAGTGGTTTATTAAAATCATTCAATCCATTCTCAGACTATTATTTAAAGTAACAATACCCATAATTACATGTGCATAATATCAGCTATAGGAAACTACTTTAGGAAAACAGATAGCGTCTTTCTCTTCACTTCAATGTTGTGTCTTGATTTCTACTGAGAAAGAAAATCTTGAGTATGCTCATCATCAGCTTCATCATATTTGCTCATTTGCGCGTGTAATATAAAAATTCCGGTTAAACAGATTGTAACTTTCTAACAATCCAGTTTCAACAGGAAAATATTTATGTTCAAGTACATAAAATGTGTCCTGTTCAGATTGACAGTTATTTCACTAGGCTTGTTTACATAATGAAATCACATAAAAAATAAAAGCTGAACACATATCATTGTACTAGTATGGAGCATACATGTCAAATCTTCTTCAAGTGTGCTTAAACATATTATAATAATTAAGATCATGAAGCAATGCCACTTAAGAAACATTCTTGGGACAGGAATAAATTATGCCATGCAAAATTAATGTTCATCTATTTCATATGTTAATCAAAAAACTAAAGTGAAATAATAAGTTTTGTTCATGTTTATTACTCCCATATGTCAGAATTATCTAAACTACACATGAAACTTGTGGTTCAGCCTCTTTTAAAATATTCCTCGCATTAACTTAGACAAAACAGAGTTATATGCACCATAAACAACCACAAATCACCAATAAAGGACAATATAGTGCACAATAATTGTAAATGAAGTTTGAAAAACATTATGTAATTTAATATGGCACTTCTGACTTAAAATAACTACATGTTATTGTACTCCCTCTTCTAGGCATGGTTTACACATATTTTTCACAATCGTGGGATCCACTGGTTGCTTCTCTACTATGGCAACTGGAAATATAGCTACTTCAGTCTAACAGACATCCACAAAAACAATTATACCAATCTTATAACATCCACAATTACCATAGCATCTCTCAACTGCTTCCCTGTAATTCCACTGATGAGAGTGAAATCACTAGATCATCTTGGTCTTATGAATGATCAATCAGAAGTTGTAGGGCACTGGAATCCTAGCAACGGGCTGAAAATGATGTCTGGTATTTTCAACCATAGTGAAATATATGACCTTGAAGGAGCAGTACTCAACATTACAGCTACGGTAAAATTCATTTCAGAAAACATACTTAGTTTACGTAAAGTAAAATTCAGGATTTCATTCTGAAGAAGAAAACATTAAACTTATGAATGAAAACTAAAATTTAATACAAAATAAGTAAATATACTACTGAGATGGCATACATCTTACCCATGTCCATTACTACAGTTTCCCCTTCTACATGAACTTATCCCGGGCATTTGAGAGAGAGATTTAACATTGGTCCATTTTGTGGTCTCTGATGGGCCATGAATCCAAAGATTTAAACTTAACTTGAATTACCTTCATTCACAGGCCTCAGAAACTACTGGATAACACACTCAAAAATTTAATTTAGTATAAGTTTTAACTGATATGGTGACTGTTTAATGAATTCATAATGACATAAACTAATAACTGAAAGTTGTAATGACAGGAAATGAATCAGCAACTTAGACCTCACATTAACTTTACAACATTACATTCCCTGGACTCTTAAAACATGCTATGACTTCATACCCAGCCAATGATAATGAATCACTCAAAATTCCATTAACAACAACTTTGCAAATACTGAATTAAAAGATAAATGATACTGTCTTCTTTCAGAGTCAATTCACTGCTCAGCAGAGGCGACAGATGTATGACTGGTCCCTTTTGCAATTATTAATGGACATACTTAACTTCAGGTAACACAAAACCTTTTAATTCAAGGTCACTTCAGAAAGTATAAAAATCCAAGATGGTGTGGATGGAGCCTATAGTCACTGTTGTCACCCTAACAGAATCTGGTGAAGAGTATAAATTACGAAGCATGTAATTTGGTAATTTCTTCCATGCTCTTGTTACATTATCCTTCTTATGCCCAAATATTCTACCAGACTTTAATGGAAGAGAATGCTTCCATGTTGAAAGTGAAGAATAAAACTACAGACTTATGTAAGACTTGAGGTTCTCACAGCGGTGAGTATGAAGATTTCTGTCTTCTGGGTTATTGCGCTGTGTAGTCTGGTCGATGTTAACCAACGTTTCAGACTTATGGATTACCAATATAGGGAAGCATCCTGATCCTGTCTGAAGTATCTCAAATTCTCCTCTTCTTTCACTTCTTATGACTCTAATATATAGATACAGATCTCCATTAGCCATAACAAATATGCAAAACTGTATGTACTATAAATGGCAAAAGAAAGAAGAGGGATACATTATGATATAACAATGGAATTATCATTAAATGGCACATTTCATGAATGACATTTTGCAGTATTAATAGCATGTAAGAAGGTGTTACATGATTGGTCACTTCTTACAATCTTGGACATGGACATGAAGAAAGGCAAATATTAGTAGATTAACAGCAGCAAAGATTAGATTTTTAAGAAAGTAGGAAAAACCAGACAATATGGAATAAGAAATTTAAAAATAAGATAGAATATAAATTAAATACCTTGGAAAACAAACTAATAGATAACAGAAAGAAATGGTATGGACACATAGAATGAATAAAGAGAGAATTCAAATGAAGGTTTTGTACATGAAAGTGAAAGGAAAATATTGAAGAGGGAGACCAAGATCTATAGGAACAACAGAGAAAGAGTTGTGGGAACACAGAGACAAGTGGAAAGGCTTGTGTTGTCAGACAATGCACTTGAAGTGAGAACATCTTAGGATGAGGAAAAGATAAATCACCAGTGTTAAAAGTAGTTGTTTGTAAAATTATTGATTTTACAACAAATAACATGTACTTACAGCAGTAAGTCACCACATGATTAGACTGAATAAGGAGTAAAGAAGTGATCAATTTGTAATTTGAAGTTCCCATATCTCAGCCTTAAAGTGTTTGTTTTCTAGAACAGTTTTACTCAACCATGATTCACTGGAAAAGGCTAGAATTGTTATTTTTGTAAGGTACCAGAGAGTTCAAATATCATTACTATATTCAATTAATAAAACATATTCATGTTCAAAATTTTGTTCTCAGCTGGGGAACAATAAAACACATTGTTCTCCAAGGGTCAATTCTAGGGTCTGTGTTCTCCATTATGCAAATTACCTTCCTCCAACAGTAACTGGCACATTATAACCCATTATATTCACTGATGACACTAGTATAATAATTTCTGGCAAAAATTTTGATAATATCTATACAATATCAAACAGTTCTCTCATATATCAGTAAATTGTTTACTGGTATTTGTCTGTATGTTTTGTATTTTTATGACTTTTATGTCCTTTCAGATGTAAGATAAAAGCAAATGTTTAGGTTCAAGGCAGATCATTTTTATGCTAAGTGTTGAACCAAAGCTAAATGAATTACGGAGAGAGCCCAACAAAATAAGTTTGCCTGTTCTATTAAGTGAAACTGTCCAGTTCTCAGATCCATTTGTCTGTCACACATTTAACCCTGAACTGAAGTAAAACAATGTAGCTTGCAGGTTGTTGAGGCAAAGGGCAGATTCAAGAACTCAATGGACCTATGGATCCTTCAACAGCTAATGACTGGGCAAGCAGATATTGGTGCATCTAGTATCCTCGTCACCCATGACAGAGTAGGACTAGCTGAGTATTCAATTGCTGTTGAGAAATTCAGGTATATCTTTGTCTGTTATTAGAAATGGAACAGAGCCTCTTTGTTATATTTTTCCTTCCACCCTCTATGTGATTTACTCAAAAGAATACTGAATTAAATGTAGTGTTTGGTGTTTACTTGTGAGGTAAAACTGAAATTAAAAATCTCAATTATGGCTAGAATTTCAAAGCAACTATAAAGTAAATTTCTGTAAATACTAGTTGAGAATTAACAGAAACAGCAGTACACAGAACTCCCAAGACCATCTATTTTAGCTTCTTGATCCATCCAGACAAATTCATTACACATTTTGCTCTAGCTGCTGTCTGTGTCCTAATATCACAGACAGCTTCGAAGAATGGACTGCTGCGGAAATTTTATACCGAGAAATCTCATTGAATTGAAAATCTACTCATACTTTTCAATCACTCTGCCCTATCAGGATTTTGACATCATTTCATAGCCTTCATTAAAATAAAACTTTTAAACACTCTATATTTTGATTAAGGTCTTGAAATATTGCTTTAATATTCCTACTTCTGCATATTTCCTACGATCAATACTTCTACGGTAAACCTTGCCAAGTTGAGTTCTAATTTAATCTGTTCACTTACATTCAAAGTATGTCACTGCACATAAAACTGTACTACATAGGAAAGACATTGACTGACATTCAAGAGCCGTGTCAGACATTATGCAAATATGTACCCTGCTTTGTTTGATCTATATACATTACAATGTTCAAGGTAAATGCAAGATTACTTTCCTTAATTCAGACTGCCTGTGTGTGTGACTGACAGGTAAACATACTCCATAGAACATAACTAGTACATCTTAGTATAAGGCTAAAATAATTACTTTTTAATTGTAGCATAAAGTCGAGTTTGCAGTCAATTGTTTTATTTTATTGAAATAACTACTACACCAAACATACATGATCATGGCTCATCAGCCCCAAAGACTTTCCTTGTAAGAATGATAAATAGATTCCCCTCCCCATCTGTTACAGCAGGTTTCATAAAATAGAATGGAAAGGCCTTTGATCAGATTTTTCTAAGAAGTCTTCTAAATTTAATTAAAACTGCTTTGGCCAGTGCAACAAGGTCACACACATGAACTGGTTGTTTCTTGAACCCAGGTTTACATTTTATGATGACCATGGGACTGGAATTTTACTTAAACTTAAAATGCAGATAATTCTTCATGCATTTCAGCACAGTGACTCATTTTCATCATTTATACCAAGTGCTGTATGTCAGTAAATTGATGATCCATGTTACATAACGCATTTCATTTCCCTATGAAATCTTCGCTGCCAATTACCCACATGAATTCAGAGTAGAAGAGTTTGTTTCCAACATAGTACAATGATGACTTCACTCCCTGATGACAGACTTTTACTCCAAATCAACCCATCTGATTTTCGGAAGATTTTATCAACATAATTTGCCTATTTAAACACATAGCCATGACTAAGACTACAAGCAGTTCACAAGCAGTAGAAATAAAATGTACAGCACAGTATTAAGAACTCAGCAAAAATGGATAAACTCCAAAACAAAGGACATCAGAGAAGACCTGGAATGTCATACTTTACAAGGAAAATTATGGAAATTAAGGATATAACGATATAAATATATGCTGTGAGATTTATTTGATTGCATGTGTTTTTAATCACATACACAGTTGTATATATGCAAGACATTTAATTTAATTTATATTTTTACCCATACTATATCTTACGACTGTTGGAATTGAAACAAGGAAATAAAGTACTGATAGTCAAACAGTCCAGTTATATTATTATTCCACATTTGCAATTTTATTTACACCTGCCAGACAACTAATTTAATTGTTTTGGTATTTCTATCACAGACCACAGCTGTATTACAAAGTGCAGTCTGTAAGGGCTGCACGTAACATCTATGTCTTACCTTTCTCAATTGGCGTCTGGGCATCGCTATGCTCACTGCTGTTGGCTATCACTGTTGCACTCACATTCATCCTCCGCCGGGAATCACAGCTCCCTAAACATGAATCTGGGCTATCAATCAGTGAAATGGATGACAAAGATGATAAGCCAGTGCACTCAAAGTGGGAGCTCAGTGAAGTTCTGCTGGTCACCACTGGAGCAGTCTGTCAGCAAGGTACATGTCAACTTCCAAAGTTAATGGGTCTTAATTTTTTCTTCTGTTATGTAAAAATTCAAATAATAATCTTAAAATCTGAGTCAGGAAAACGTGGAACAAAAAGATTTTGGTGTTTACAAGGATGGATTAGTCTTAAGGTTCTTAGAATATGGGGGGATGAAGATTCTTAACTGAATGGCAGCAAGCCTTTCAAAATTGCAATCTCTTCTTAATGTCTTCATGAAAGCAATTTTAATTTATTATTGTCAATAGTTGTCTTTATACTGATTCTGTCTTGCATTCTACAATGCAATATGAACTCACAAACACATACACACATATACTTACTAGCCATATGAATGGCATACAGTAGTGTTCCAAAATTAGTGTGCTGCTGTGATGTTCTAGGTATGCTGCAAAACACTTCAGTGAAATATTAAGATGATGATAAAGGCTCTACTTCACTTCATACATTTTTTTTGTATCTGCAAAATGAAAGTAAATCACACAACAATAGCATTCAAAGCATAGTGTCTTTTCCATGATTATAACACTATATCCTCACATACTAGCACATCACATAACACTACTAAATTACATTTTAAAACTCATAAGATAACAAAAATGTTTTAATTTCGTCACAAACAACAGGGTTTTATCAGAATTGTAATATAAATTCCCTGTTGCTAGAATTCTGGCACATGAACCTGAAATTCAGTGCCAGTATGTGGGACAGCAGAACTAAGAAATATGGTGAGAGACAGACTACATTCATAATGTAAAAGCGATGCTTTGGTTCCAAATTGTATATGACTTAGTTATAACCATCATACCAATTCAGAGAACAAGGATGTACATAACATCTCAGCTTTCATAAATAACTCAAACTCTCACATAATAGTTAACAGAAAAGGTAGTCTGTTACTTTATGACTGACTAAAACTTCCAGTTCTCTTTCAGT